CAACCACATTCGCTCGGGACATGTCGCCCGGGACATTTTTTCTTAGCGTTTTGTAAAGTGAATTTCTTTACCTCTATCCCTCAATTACTGGCTGTTTTGCTTTTAACTTAATAGTTCAACATTTAAATGAAGCATTCAGTACAGAAAAATGTCACATATTAGCATTCCTAAAGGATAAATTCACAACTGAAGACGGGTCCAAAAAATAACACAAAAATAGCCAAAACTGATTTTTGCGTATATTGGTAGGGTTTGTCATAAAAATAATCAAACTATACTCCAAATTTGTAGTTAGGGTCAGTATCCAACTAATTAGAAACTAATATCGAGGCAAAATCTTTTTGCTGGAAGTGCCCATATGTGCTGAAACTGATAAAATTAATAAAATAATTAATATGTTACGTTAATGTTAAAAAAAAACTTAATTTGTTTATAAACCACCTCGCAACGAATACTTTTGTGACAGACTGTCGAGAAATTAATAATTTGTTGTTAAAAAGACACTATTGCAAAAGAAACCTCAACAACTCGACTGGCTGTCGCTATGGTAACACCACAAAAAATCGCCTACAGTTATAAGAAAACTGCCGCTTGCATAGAATCTAAGGGATAAATTTTCGTTTTGCTCCAACCCCCGATTTCGTTCATATTGACGTGTTTTTGGGTCCTGATTACGGGAAAAATACTCAAAGTTGGCACAATACCGGGATCTTGAAAAATAACGTTCGAAAACTTATAATTTTCGGTTTTTGGCTGTTTTTTTTTCGGAAAATATAAGGAAAATCAAAAAATGCATCAGACAAAAACAGAAGATATTTATTAAACGGATCTTTTGTGTATTAATCATTTTCTTCGTAAACATAAAGGTTTTCGAAATAAATGCAAAAGAAGTATTTTAAATAGGTGGAGAACATTTAAAAATAGTGCAATATCCCGCCATAAAAATGACGTTAGATAGTTGTCGATTAGTCGGTAACAGCATTTTACCTTTTACTCTAGTAGACCTATTTTGCCTTTTAATACGATGTATCGTGTTCATGTTCCTCAAAAAAAGGAAATGGAGTGGATGAACTGAATGAAATCTGGATAAGTTGTTAAAGAAATTTGTAGGTTACAGGAGAGCAAAGCGCCGCAGGCAAAAATTTTTCACTTCGACTTTATAAATGTTTTATATGTATTTTTTGTTAATACATTTTATTTCCGATATAATTAGTATTTTATTTTGTTTTCTAAATTTTATATTTTACTACGAGAAGAGAAATGCTCTCTTAAAAAATTTAATGCCATTCTCGTGCTTAGGTAGTATCATCGCTAATACATCGAGAGACATCGACATAAATTTCGACACACCGATATAGCATGCTCCATCGGTTTTTTATTTTCAAGCATTGAGAAAAAATTATCTTATTAAGCGTTTTTAACGAAAACTATTAGTTTTACAGAAAAATTGTATAAAACATAAAATACACATTTATTTAAAAGCTTTCATTTCTCCTTAGATAACTTTTTGAATAAGTCAATATATTCGAAGATATTTACCGTTACCGATTTTACCGTTATTTTCCATGATCCCGTTATTTCCGCCAACTTTGACTATTTTTCCAGTTATCAGGACCCCAAATAACGTGGATTTTGAATGTTTCGACGAAATCAGGGGTTGGAGCTAAACGGAAATTCACCCCTGATATCTGCGCCGATATGTTCGCACTTGTAAGCTTGTGTTATTTGGGAATTTCTGCAGAGCTCATTCGTTTTTAATTCTGAACATCTGTAGGCAACATATTATTAAATCTTTAATATTATGAGTTATTGGAAGAAGTTTTAAAACTAGACACCTCGCTTTTCGCACACAAATGGAAAAGGTCCGCCGCATTGAACATCGAGGTAGCCAAACTCGCCGTTAAAGTTAGCATAAGAGACGCAATCCTCCTGGGGAGCAGCATTGTCAGGCTCATGAGGGACCCACTTCAAGTAGGGTACCCTTTCACCATTCTTGGCCAATACAAAAGACCGCCGCTTAGCCAAGCAAGTGATTCCCACCCAAACTGAACCACGCCATCCGTTGGCGAAGGGAAATCCCAAATTGATGAGGTGGGCGGTAGTGAACATCTTGTCCAGATCGTCCTCAAAGACCAAAAGATCGGCCCCAAGACTCCGACAGGTATTATCGGCCACAAACCAATTTACCTGAACGATTAATATTGCTTACGTACTCGAGTATTAAGAATTATTGCTCCCCGATCGACTCCTACCTTATTTGGATTAAAATAGAGGCACTTGTTGCCCACAAGATTAAATTGCGGTGGACAATTAATAGCGTTAAGGCCCACAGCCAACGTGAAGAGGACGCAAACGAAGAGCACCTGATTGGCCATGTTCTGGTTTTGGATCGATTGCCGCACGAGAGATTTTTCCGGTTTTATAGCCACAAGAAATGCCGGTCGCTCAATTTAAGCCAAGCAATTCCACTACACAGAGATAAACCCAAACCATTATCGCCTTTCAATACTGGCCATATCAGCAGTAAGATGTATACATTTAAAAAAGGCTATCAAAAAGACAATTATAAGGGGAATCAGTAACATAAAAAATGTTTCTTATGGAATTGAAAAATGTTTACTGTAAGAATTGTTAAGATTATTTTGAAAATAATATTTTTATCGGAGTTCTAATAAGTCGGATTCTAATAACTCGGCTAATAATAAATTTAAAACTATTGGAAAGAACTGTTTTAAAATAAAACAGCAAGTTTTTCAACATTAGGATACATTTTAAAAACTTATTGCTCTTTAACATATTGTATCGAGATATCAATTTAACTCAATGAAATCTGTTAAAAAGATGTATTTCAGTTTTGTTGGATAACGTTTAAATCAAATTGTTTAGGCCAATTCAGATAAAATCCTATCTCTAATCTTTAATTTATAATTAATTTTCTTTTACACGACGGCGTATTAATTGATGATAAGGTTATTTTCAAATCTTATTACTTTATTTTAAGAACAGCAACCATCTGACGCGAAAGCAGTACCGCATCATAGGGTTATATCCCGCCCGACGTCGCCAACGCCATCCAGGTGATCCACACCAATGCAGGATTCCTAGGCCAGGAGGACAACACGGGCACCTCAAGTACTTCGTCAACGGAGGACGCATCCAGCCCTTCTGCAAGGGGAATCCCATCAGTAAGAACTTAAGTAGAATAATCACTATGGACGGCAGTGTGCGAGAGTGTGCGCACCAGGAGAGTGTGCGAAGGCGACTACTATTATATAGCCGCAAAATTGAAAATCTGCTGTGATAGTCCGATCGTAATGAGTAATACACCAAATTAAAGGTATTGCTAAAACTTAAAGGATTGCATACCAAGACCTCAAGAAAATCAATTGGCTTGGGAGAGAGAGCGGTGAAAGTGAAAAAGTGCAAGTTTCGAAATTTGGAGCTGTTGGGGCCGGTGGGAATAAATGCCCCCTCGCATATGATAAAATCCGACGCTCCGTTCACAAGTTAGAGCCAAAATAAGATTTTCTTCGTCTTCCCAAAATGAAAATTTAATTCTGTTTGTCAGTTTGTCCAAAACATGTTTTTTAAGTTCTGAAAATTTGATATGACGTTCATCACATCGATATATGGGCACTTCCAAAAAAAAGTCCACCAAGCCAAAAACCTTAAAACTTGAATAAAACATATTTCCACATGATTTTTCCCAGATATTAGTTTCTAATTAGTTGGATACTGAGCTTAACTACAAATTTAGAGTATAGTTTGATTATTTTTATGACAAACCCCACCAATATACGCAAAAATCAGTTTTTGGCTATTTTTTTGTTATTTTTTGGACCTGTCTTCTGTTGTAAATTTATCCTATAGGAATGCTAATATGTGACATTTTTCTGTACTGAATGCTTCATTCACATGCTAAACTATTAAGTTAAAAGCAAAACATCCAGCAATTGAGAGATAGAGGTAAAGAAATCCGCTATACAAAACAGTCGGAAAAAATGTCCCGAGCGACATGTCCCGAGCGAATGTGGTTGAAACTGCATAAAAAAAAAACGGCAAAGAATTTTTGAGTGAAACCAAAAGCATTTCACAGCGACATGTTTGAACAACATTCTAAAAAAAATCGCATTCAAATATTCCATCAGAATTCGCTAATTTCTGGTGTTGTATGAACTTCCCCGAAATCCACTTCTATTTTTGTCCCGAGCGAATACGGCAGTTTTTTACCGATATCTTAAAAACTAAAAGTGGTACAAAATTAAGATTTTTACCAAAAATAGAGCTTGGGAAGAGTGAAAAGAAAAGCCCATAATTAAAATTAAAATCCATTGTTTTACAATTTTTTTTCAACTTTAAAAGTGTGCAAATGTCCCGAGCGACATTTTGGAAGTGCCCATATCAAACTTTTGTTCTACCACTTTTGGAAAAACCCCCTAGTTTAGCAGGAAAACTATATATTGCTAAAATTCGGAAAGCCGTTACTTCTATACTACTAAAGCTACAGACTTGTGCTGCATCTCGCCTTTTATATGCAATTTGTGTAAATGTAATATTTAAAAAGATATGAACAAAAGAAAATTTTTTTAAACTTTTTTTTTAGCTTTTACGGCTCTAACGATTTTCTTTAAAACTTTAAACTGTAAACTGTACAAAAATATTACACTCGCCATTAAATAGACTTTCTAATATTTTGGAACAGCTGATTAACAGCTGACCAAAATTCAACAATTCACCAATTCAGCAATTCAACAGTTTAGGGAATCCCCTCGTTATGATCAGTTATATCATAAGTGATTTATCAGGGATTCTTGTGAGCACACCCAGTTACTAGCGACTTTTCTACATGAATGTATCGACTGCATAATCGATTCAAGCACCATCTCTAAGAGCATGTCCCGGCATTTTTAGCGGATAGCGCGTGAATTTCTGTTTTGTTTTAGTTAATCGAATTTATGCTTGCCAAGACAGCCGGGAACCGAAGAAAGCAGTAGCAGCAGCAGCAGCCATGGCCGACAGCCCGTTCCCGATGAGCAGCCGCAGTGGCCTGCTGCGCACCACCGCCCTGAACGGCTCCCTCGGCCCGCAGAACCTTTCCCACTCGCTGCTCCTCCTGGAGCAGAGCAACGCTGCCCTGGAGGATCGGTCGCTGGTCGAGGACACCGGCGACGACCTGGACCGCGGCCAGAGCCGCGTGGACGTGCTTTTCCCGCAGTTCTTCGACGTGCTGCAGGCGCAGGGCGGCGGACCGGAGGCCTTCGAGGTGATCCAGGCGCTCACCCACGTCTGCCGCGGCGTCGTGGAGCAGCTGGAGCTGGAGATCGAGCGCGGGGTGGGCGGCGCACAGGGCGCCAGGCAGCGCGAGGCCATTCTCGGCTGGCTGCGCCAGGAGATCTACACATGGCGCCTGCTGCACGCCCTCTTCTACGACCGCATCCTGCTGCAGAGCGACACGCAGGCGGACGACGAGATGCAGGACGGGCCCACGCTGGGCGGCAGCGAGAAGGAGGTCATCCAGCAGCTGTACACCATCAACGCGACGCTGCGCGAGTACCAGCTGGTGGTGGACTGGCTGGAGGCCTGCTACGATCCGGGGGAGCAGCAGAACCCGCTGCACTGCCACGACCGCATGATGGCCTGGGAGAACTCGCTCTTCCAGCTGGAGAACCTGCAGGGCGCCGCCTTCGGCCGGGGCCACGAGATCGTGACGCGCCTGGACCCGGACGCCCCCGTGCGCGAGAAGCGCCCGCTGCACGCCCTCGACGAGGAGGACAACCTGCGCCTCTCGCGCGCCATCTTCGCGGCCATTCGCTCGGGCCGCGTCGACGAGGGCCTCAAGCTGTGCAAGCACTACGGCCAGACCTGGCGGGCGGCCATCCTCGAGGGCTGGCGCCTCCACGAGGACCCCAACTTCGAGCAGAGCGTCGCGGTGGCGCACGAGAAGCTGCCCATCGAGGGCAATCCGCGGCGGGACATCTGGAAGCGCTGCGCCTGGCTGCTGGCCGACTCCAAGAACTACGACGAGTACAGCCGCGCCACGGCGGGCGTCTTCTCCGGCCACCTGGGCTCCCTGAAGACCCTCCTGCACAGCAACTGGCACGACCTGCTGTGGGCCCATCTGAAGGTGCAGATCGACATCCGCGTGGAGTCGGAGATACGCGGCTGCTGCCTGAAGCGCTACCAGCCGATGCCCGACGACTACTGGAACGGCAAGATGACCCTGGAGCAGATCTTCGACGAGCTGAACGTGGCCAAGGATGCCGCGGTGCGGGACTTCGCCCAGGGCCAACTGGGCATCATCCAGCGTCACTTAATCTTGGACACCTGCGGCGAGCTGCTGCAGCACATGGTGCGCTGGGTGGAGAAGGATGCAGGCCAACTACCGCCGCACCAGCTGCGCTTCATGGCCCACATTGTGCTCTTCCTGCGCCAAATCGGCCGCGTGGAGAAGGAGCGGCAGGCGGAGAAGATCATTGCCGCCTACGTGGAGGCGCTGATTGCGCGGGGCGATCCTCAGTTGATCGCCTACTATGCGGCGGCCCTCTCGACGCCGCTGCAGGTCAGGCTGTACTCGCGCTTCCTCGAGCAGGTGGAGCAGAAGCGCCAGCGGGAGCTGGCCCTGGACGCCGCCCTGCAGGCGGGCCTGGATGTCGAGCAGATCACGCGCATCACCGTGGAGAACATGCGCTCCGTCCACGCGGCGCCCGGGGAGTTCGGCGAGCCGCACTCGGGCGAGATATCCGCGGCGGACCAGCGCAAGATCTCGGCCCTGGAGTGGCTGCTCCACCTGCCCGAGCAGCGCGGCGAGCTGCTGTGGCAGGCCAACGCCATGATCCGCGCCTACCTGGCCGGCGGCAAGATGGAGTGCGTGCGCCAGACCTTCCGCCTGGTGCCCGGCGACATAGTGCAGCAGATCGGGGGCTTGTTCAGCTCGGTGGACCAGATTCCGCCGCGCGAGGAGTGCTGCGTGAAGGAGTACCTCTGCTACAAGGTGTATTTGTCGGGCGTGGACAGCTTCGTGGAGTGGAACCGCCTGCAGCAGAACAGGCCCAAGAAGCCGCAGGCCGGAGCAACTCAGGATAACTTCACGGAGCGCATGGCCAGCGAGCGCAAGGAGCAGGCCCACCGATCGGAGGTGCTGCGCTGGGAGCACAAGGTCAAGGAGCAGGCCAAACGTAATGATAACCTTGGATAGGTGTATAAATTTCAAGCACTAAGCATTCCTTTTCCCCTGCAGAAACCATCGAAACGCTGTACAATGTGCTCATGTTCCCCGACAAGGGATGGCTGGTGGATCCGTTCATTGCCAAGCAGCCGGAGAACGCCGTGCAGCTGAACTGGGAGCACCGCCTGCTGCAGATGGAGAGGCTGCGCTCCATCTGCATACCCGAGATCGCCCTGCTCCTCCACGACGTCATGTTCAAGTCGGGCGACTTTGCCGGCTGCGTGCGGCTGGCGGACGAGATCTCCGGCGAGGGACGGCAGCTGTACAAGGTCTACACGAAGCACAAGCTGGCCGAGCTGCTGGCCAAGATCGCCGACGCCTCGCTGGAGCTGCTCAACGCGAAGCTGGACCCCTGGGGCTACCCCATCACAGTCTAGTTGTTCCATGTTTGCGATGATTACATTCTAACTTTAAACGTTTATTATTTACGCACTGTTCACTTACACAACTACGGAGGGGAAAGGAGGGGGGATTGGGATGCTTAAGAGCTGTTGTCCACCGCAGCGGCGTTGTTCTCGTCGCACCCGTTGCTGTGCTTCAGCAGGTAGGAGGCCAGGAACTGGATGGGATCCGCCGGCCGTTCGCGGGCCAGCGCCTGCAGTCCGTGGAGCAGGACGGGGGCCACCGTCTGGTCGAGGTACTGTCGCGTGGGCATGGAGCTGGTCTCCCCGTTGGGCTTCTTGGCCGCCGTCTGCTGCTGCTGCTGTTGCTGCGCCACTGGATTGGTGGACTGGCCGCCAACTTCGGACTTGGCCTCGTTGCTCTGCGCGTTATTGCTGCAATTCTGCTCCTTGGCGGCCTCTGCCGGCGGGTTCGGTGTGGGCGCCGGCGAGATGGGGGCGTCGCTCTTGGCCTCCATGGCAATGGCTATCCGGGGTTTTAGTAAATCTCAATTTTTCAGCGGGCGTCTTTGGAGCAGGCAGTCCAAACCAATTCGATTCGATCAAAATTTACATTCTCGGCTTGCAGGGTTGCCAACTGCACTGCGCTAATCGATATATCGAATTCCCGTGATTTTTTCTGCCACTTTGAAATATTTGTCACGACTAGTGTTGGAAAATATCATCACTGCGAACGGCAGTCCACGTAGTGACGAAGTGCAGTACTATTAAATAGCTGCAGAATAACGAGTGATACGCCAATCGAAAGACTTAATCAATTTGAATTGGTTTGGGAGAAAGGGGGGTTAAAGTGAAAATTTCGAAAATTGGAGGTGTTGAGGCCGGATAACATGAAAATCTTTTATAAAATATATTTATTTAGTCGAATGTACGAGGACTTTTCGTCACAAAATTTGATATCAGAACTTTTGTATGTTGATGGTGCGACCGTCACGACCCGTGACATTAGTGTTTTATAAATTATTTTCCAAAAATTTGGACCTTGGTGAGGTTCATATTTTCATCAATAACAAATAGGTAAATATATGCTTTGTTTTTGGTGTATTAGTATATTTTATATTATCTGTATCCAATCTGCATCCACGAAATCACAGTCACAGTTACCTAGGCCCTCCCATCACTGGTCACGACTGTGACTCGAACACTCGTCATCGCTATCGGCCAATTTATCGATTGTCATCCCCAATCCAATTCATCCAATTGGGTGAAAATTAGGCCGAAAAACTAGGAAAGAAAATTCGACAGATCAATTAAAACATGACGGAGCTGCTGATTGATCCGGACATCCGGGTTTGGGTGTTCCTGCCCATCGTTCTGATCACGTTTCTAGTGGGCATTGTGCGCCACTACGTCTCCATACTGATTTCCACGCAGAAGAAGGCCGAGATCACCCAGATCCAGGACAGGTGAGCAGGGAGCAAAGGGCACTGGAGCCCCTGGTAGTAACTAAATGTATCCATTGCATCCCACCCGCAGCCAGGCGATGATCCGGGCACGCCTGCTCCGCGAGAACGGCAAGTACCTGAGCGCCCAGAGCTTCTCCATGCGGAAGAACTTCTTCAACAACGAGGAGACCGGCTACTTCAAGACCCAGAAGCGGGCGCCCGTGGCCCAGAACTCGTCCGCCATGCTCACCGACATGGTCAAGGGCAACTTCATTAACGTCCTGCCCATGGTGGTGATCGGCGGCTGGATCAACTGGATGTTCTCGGGCTTCGTCACCACCAAGGTGCCCTTCCCGCTGACGCTGCGCTTCAAGCCCATGCTGCAGCGGGGCGTCGAGCTGGCCTCCCTGGACGCCGCCTGGGTCTCCTCGGCCTCCTGGTACTTCCTCAACGTGTTCGGCCTGCGCTCCATCTACACCCTGGTGCTCGGCGAGAACAACCATGCCGACCAGACGCAGGCGCAGGCGGACGCCATGACCGGGGCCGCCATGACCATGCCCCAGGACCCGAAGGCGGCCTTCAAGGCCGAGTGGGAGGCGCTGGAGATCACCGAGTACCACAACGCCCTCAAGAACATCGACGCCGACATGCTGACCATCGCCAGCGCTGCCGCGGAAAAGAGTCCCTGAGTGACGAGGCCCGCGGGCCCATCCTAATTAAGGTATTTTAGCAAATTCACAATGTAACAAAGCAGATTTTGTTTAGCGTGCAGAGTCCAAGAGGGTTAAAATAAAGCAAGTTGTGTGTCTATAATGGTAATGGTTTAAATTCCCAGAAAATTAAGTTCCGAGTGAGTAAAAAGCAGGGTTTGGAAAATAACACACACTGTAAATAACTCGGGTTATCAAAATGTTAAATGTCAAAAAAAGTTATTGACATGTGTGTTAAAAATTGTAGCCTACATATGTTAGAAACATAAATAACACACACATGTCATTTGTGTTACTTACACGACGTGTTTTTTACACAGCGTGTTTTTAACACAATAAGTTTTTGACATTCAAGTGACAGCTCACAATATAGGGGAGAGTGGGGTAATTTCGTCAGCATTTTTTCAAAGCTATTTATTGTCCATCTTGAGATACGTTATCATATTTCTATTTTTATTGTTGAATGCGGTTAGCACCAAGCTTTAAAATGTGACATTCCCCTATTTTTTTAATTACCTTGGTGATTTATAAAAAATTAAAAAGTAAAACAAATATACTGGGGCAATCTCGCCACACAGGGGGTTAAATCGCCACACCACCGGGCAATTTCGTCACCTGAATAATGTAGGGAACTTTACGCCTGTAAGTATGCTACACTGATCAAGCGTACCATTTTTGTTGACGTCCTATATTTGTTGCTGCTGCTGGTAGTCTGTTCGTTAGCCAGCTCGTCAAATAAAAAAATATGTATTTAAAATAGGTGCGAATTTACCCTAAGCATAGGGTGGCGAAATTTCCCCAGACAGTACTTTTTAGAAATAATTATTTTTCTTCCGAAATTAGGCGCGAAGTTAAAAATCACTAACGCAGAAATGCACATTATAGCACTGTGTATTATATCAAATAAAAACACCTCTTAACGAGGTAAAAAACTAGTGACGATCGCACCTTCAACGTACAAAAGTTCTGATATCAACTTTTGTGACGAAAAATGATTTTAGATGCGACTAAATAAGTACGCTACCTAAAATTTACTCGTTCGGCCCGCTGTAGCAAATATTTAATATCTACACGAATGTTTTTCTGTTTTAGCGTGCCGAATGAATAAATTTTAGGTAGCGTACTTATTTAGTCGCATCTAAAATTATTTTTCGTCACAAAAGTTGATATCAGAACTTTTGTACGTTGAAGGTGCGATCGTCACTAGTTTTTTACCTCGTTAAGAGGTGTTTTTATTTGATATCAGAAGTTTTTGTTTGTTTACTTTTGCTCTCATAGGTGCTAATATAAACATTTAAATTTAAATTGGTCATAAATCATAATTTTTAAACTATTGTATTTTAACGAATTAAGTTAAAAAGGCGTTGAAGTATTTCAAAATACCTTTTAAACGAGGTATAGCACATGTCTGTACCTTTAGTAGTGTAGAACTTAAAAACTAACGAAATTTAGCCATTTTTAGCTATTTTCCCGCTAAAGTAGCGGCTTTTTCCAAAAGTCGTAGAACAAAAGATTCCTATATGGAACTCTTAAGTGCAAATTTACTGATTCCATGACCCTAAAATACAGTTCGGATACCCTCCCGCAAAATTCAATACTCAGGGAGCGTTAATTGTTCGAGCTGGCAAAAGTGGCTATTTTCGTATAAAAATAACTTTTAAACGTGACTTTTTACAGTAATGTGTTATATACCAAAATTTAAGGAATCTCAAGGGCTATACAGTTTAAGGTTTTAAAGAAAATCGTTAGAGCCGTTTTTGAGAAAAATAAAAAAAGCTAAAAAAAAAGTTTTAAAAAATTGTCTTTTGTTCATATTTTTTTAATTATTACATTTACACAAATTGCATATAGAAGGCGTTTATAGCATTTAAAAATACCTTTCAAACGAGATGCAGCACAAGCCTGTAGCTTTAGTAGTATAGAAGTTACGGCTTTCCGAATTTTAGCTATTTATAGCTGTTTTCCCGCTAAACTAGCGGGTTTTTCCAAAAGTGGTAGAACAAAAGTTTTTTATATCGATGTGATGAACGTCATATCAAATTTTCAGAACTTAAAAAACATATTTTGGACAAGTGGACAAACTGACAAACAGAAATTAATTTTCATTTTGGGAAGAAGAAGAAAATCTTATTTTGGCTATAACTTTTGAACGGAGAGTCGGATTTTGACAAATGATCCCTCATTCGACGGGTATTTTCAAGAGGAATACAAATAAAACATAGCGAGGGGGCATTTATCCCCACCGGCCCCAACAGCTCCAAATTTCGAAATTTTCAATTTTTCACTTTCACCGCTCTCTCTCCCAAGCCAATTGATTTTCTTAAAGTCTTGGTATGCAATCCTTTAAGTTTTTGCAATACCTTTCGATTGGTGTATTACTCATTACGATCGGACTATCACTGCCGATTTTCAATTTTGCGGCTATATAATAGTAGTCGCCTTCGCACACTCTCCTGGTGCGCTTCGTCACTACATGGACTGCCGTCCATAGTGATAAAAAATCGTGTATCTTATTCCTTTTGAATTGTGGCATACAGAAAAAATTTTGTCGAGAACTAAATGTAGCTTTTGAACTGTTAAAACACATTTAATATTATAGCTTTATTATCTTGGCCTTCTGTGCAAAAAAATGCATTGGTTGTGTCATGCCGTCTTGAGGGGCTAAAACAAAAAAAATTATATATTTTTAAGACTTATGGATTCCGAGATATTGCAGGTGACGAAATTGCCCCTGTGACGAAATTACCCCACTCTCCCCTATGTAAGTAAATTGTTTCTGCCTACCGTTACTAATATAATGTGTCTATTTTATAAGAAATTTATATGTTTTTGGTTACGGATAATTTTTTTAAATATCTATTGAATTAAAAAATTTTGAGGGGTAAAAAATGTCCTACTTTAAAAAAAGAATATTTTTTTCAGCGACAATATAGTCCGTTTTAAAATAAGTACCAAAGAAATCAATAAGCAATAAGCACCGAACAAATACGGTTAGATTTGTGCATTGATAAACGTAAAAACTGTAATGGATTTTGTTTTCCCGAAGATGTGCCTATCAAAAAAATTGAACTTGTTAGAGGGTGAGTCAACGAGTCTCTCTTTTGTTTTATATTTGAAGGAGTAAAAAATTCTATAAAATGTTAACAGTTATACGAACAGTTACAGTTTTTTTGATTCGCACACTTTTGAAGTCAAAACGAGGACGGAAGCTAACTTCGGCAAGCCTTGCAGATTTCACGAATGAAAACTTGAATAGAATAGCAACATGAATTAATAAACAACAAAATATTCTATAATTGGAAGTTAAAAATTTAAAATTGTTCATGGGAGCTTGTTCCCATGGGAGCTATAGGATATAGACGTCCGGTCGGGTCGGCTTTCAAACTTGATCTGCGTACACGTGTTTTAGGACGACTGTAAAAGTTTTAAATCGAAAGTTTTAAATCGACGGACATGGCTATATCGACTCCCCTGTTGGTCCTGATCAAGAATATATATACTTTATGGGGTCGGAAACGTCTCCTTCACTGCGTTACCAACTTCTGACCAAAATTATAATACCCTCTGCAAGGGTATAAAAACATGGTGTTGAAAACACAAGTCGGCTGTGTGTGTTAACAATTATTTTTCACATTTTACACTTGTGTATTTGACACACATGTCAACAACTTTGACAATTTTTCATGTTTTTAACATGTGTGTCAAATTCCGAACCCTGATGGTTTAAATTCCCAGGCAGTAAAGTTCCGAGTAAAAAGAGAACAATTTCGATGAGGGTAGCTCAAGACTCGTCTATGACTGGAAATTTAAAAGATGTACTCCCCCTCCCAGTCGCGTGTCATTTGAATGAAAAGTAACAATAAATAGGAAAAACAACTTAGTAGTAGGCCTCTTCGGTGGCCTCCGTTTGGGGAGCTGGCTCTTCGGGGCCGGCGGGCTCTGGAGGAGCGGATACTGGTGGCGAAGGCGCCTTCTGGAGAACCGGCGGCGAGGGAGACTTCTGCAGCAAAGGCTCCGGCTCACTGAGCGCATCTGTGGTGGGTCCATCGGGCTCAATCTCCTTGGCAGGACCCTTCTCCCCGCGACCCGTGTTCAACGGAGACGGAGGACGGGCGCTGGCCTGCACCTTGAACTGCTTCTCCGGCTTCTTGAGGTCCTTGGGCTTGCCCATCAGACGGTAGTCGTTGGGCAGCTCCGCCTCCGTGTAGAGCTTGTCGGCGAAGTAGATGCGCCGGATGCGAACGTTGGCGTGCAGCTGCAGGGACACCGTCTCCAGGTAGTTGGAGCCGTAGGCACGGCGCGTGAAGTCGGCCAGGTTGAACTGGATCTGATTCCAGCCCGGCGACATGCCCATCGGCATGGCCGTGCAGAAGGGCTTCACGGAGGTCTTGCTCTGGAAATTGGACACCCGGAAGCGGCGCATGAAGCGCTGGTCGTCTTGAATCTGGAGGCCGTTAACATTATTGGATCCCTTGTTTGATTTGTTTAAAAACTAGTGTTGGGTTGCTCATGAGTGAGTGAACAAAAAGGAGTTGCTCACTAAACAGAGTGAGTGAACAATGTTCACTGAACATGGTCCTTCGAACCTGTTCTTTATTGTTCACTTGTTCATTTTTGCTCACTTGCTCCTTTTTGTTCACTTGTTCAGTTTGGCTCTCTTACTTGCTCTTTTTTGTTCACTTGTTCAGTTTGGCTCTCTTACTTGCTCTTTTTTGTTCACTTGTTCAGTTTGGCTCTCTTATTAAATCTTTTTAGTTCACATGCTCAGTTGCTCTTGCTGTTTTTGGCACAAAAAGTATTTTTTTTTACTTTTAGGATGCATTTTGCATACGATTTTACAGACAATAAGCTATTTTCTCAGAGTCAGTGAAAAAGTTAAGGACAGAACAAGGGAACAAGTGATCAAAACTAAGTGAGTTGACTCATTGGGAAAAAAAGAGCAAGTGAACATGTTCACCCAAATGAGCTGTTTTTACCCAACGCTATTGAAAACCCCCTAACTAACCTTAACCTCGAAGCAAAAGTACTTGTGCATGTTCTTTATCAGCAGCACCAGGAAGGGCAGCTTGATGCCCAGCTGCTCCTTGCATTCGCTGGGACAGTGAATGAAGGTGGTGGACACATTGGAGCCCATTATCTCGAGCACCAGCGACTTGATGTCCTCATCGTAGATGCGCTTGATGTACCCGTTCTTGGTCTGTCCAAGAAACAATTATAGATCTGCAGAATGGCACTCGAGATACTCACGTAGGAGGACCAGTTGTTCAGGGGCGAGCTGCCCACGCTGTAGAGCACGGTGAGGAAGCCTTTCTGGTAGGCTGAACGATACATTGTCGACTGTATTTCTTTTGAACTGTGTGTCTGGTTTACAGGATCAAGCTACGGCCAAGTCCCCAAGTGACTGATGGGACACGGCAAACTTAAACTATTTCTAGGTGCTAGACTAATTGTAGAACGGATTGTAGGTGACCCAGTGGGCGCGCTCCTGGTCCTTCTCGGTCTTGTGGGACGTGAACAGCGATTTGTAGACGTCGCTGGCCTTGGGATCCTTGGCCACACTGAAGTCGCTCTTGAGTCGCTTCATCTCGGGATCCTGCATGGCATTCACGGCGCCGAGTCGTTTGATCGGGGCCACCGCCTTCACTTTCGAGCTGCTGGTGGGCTTCTCCAATGCCACTGGCTCCTGGGCCTCCGCTTCGGGCTCAGCTTTGACCTCCACCTTCTTGGCCCCCTTCTTTTCCTTCTTGGAGGCCTTGCGCTTGGATGCCCGCATTTCCATCTTGACCCGCATCAGCTCCAGATCCTCGTCGCTGCCATTGAGCACCACCACGTCCTCGACGCTGTAGGGAGCCTGGCACAGCGGACAAGTGCTGGCCGCGCTCCCCTTGATCTGCTTTAGGGCCCGCTCGGAAACCACGCAGCCGCAGCTCCACAGGGCCACGAATCGGAACTTGCCGGACATCTCCAGCCCAATCAGCTTGCAGATGTACGGAGCATGGCGCGTGTCCAGCAGCCCATTGGACTTGTCCTCCTCCAAGAAGGCGGGATTGGGCGTGGGATTCAGCTGGCGGATGTCCTTCATGCTCTTCACGTGCGCCGCCGTCTCCGGCATCGGTTCCTTCTCCAGGAGGCGCTCGATGACGCTCTGCTTGGAGTAGAGCCTGCCCATGCCGCACATGGCGATCGGCTCCTGGAGGCGCTGCTGGGTCAGCGTGCAGTGGCGCCAGCGGAACTCCCGCTCCGCATCCTTGTCTTTCTGGAAGGATCGAATCGATGGCAGTTAGTCTGGCCAGGAGGTGCTCCAATGGGACTCCCTTACCTGTTCCGGCTTTTGCTTGACGCGCACCAGCTCATCACGCCGGGGAATAGTTCCGCCATCGCAACCCATTGTAATACGATTTCAGGATAAGAAAACTTCTAGGCGAATCCTTTGTTGTCAGCAAATTACAACGCCAAACCGAAGTTATTCAGTGATTTTCAAGCTAGCCGTAGGCTAAATAAGTAATAAATCTGTATAATAATATTCTTTCTTGTCTTAATTCCACAACCTGAAATCGGTTACAGATGGGAAACTCAATTTAATCAGCAATTTACAAAACAGGCCACAATTTTTATTTATTTACCTCTTGGTCATAGAGATGGAAGCACACGCTGTTTCGATTAAAACAATGCTCTCGAATATCGATATATTGTCATCGATGGTTTCTTACTTTTTGGAGCAAGCCTTTTTTACAGGGTGACAGTTTAACATTTTTTTTGTTGGTATTCAAATTTTTAGTGCAAATATTTCTGATTTTGGTTTTCAGTGTAGAAGACCCTTATCATTATGTACATATAAGCACGCGAAAACGAAAAACAGTTTGGTATTTACCCACATTAATAACTATATCTGTATTTATACTCTTAAGTTAATTTACTGATAAGAAAGGTAAGTCAAATTAGTTGAAGATATCTATAAACTTATGCTGTATACTTAGCTATATTTGCCTTAGATAAAGTCATCTTAGTGACGAAGTCCACCGAGAGTACGACAATTTTTTCAATTTTAAAATGTTTGATTGAAAGTGGGAAACACCTTAAGTTTGGGCGGAAATTATTTTGTTTTACATATCATTTCCAGAATTTGGTTGTGGGAGGGGTATTAAATCAATTTTTTTATTGCATACTTTTTGAATGCCTTCCTGTCGATCCGCCCACGGTTTTATTATTTTCTGAAAATGGATTATTTAAATTTCTTAAATAGAAGCCAGGGTCTTTTGTAGCATACTTTTTGAATACCAAATTTTAAATAATAAATAAACTTCTTTTTCAATTGAGAGGATTCAAAGTTCAATCCTTGAAAGCCAATTAGCAGGGATTTTTATAACATACTACATTTTAATGACGAATATTTAGACTTCGGATTTATGACAAAATCATGAATTTTTTCCAAGTGACCTTTTTAAAATTTGTTTTTGTTCCAGCATAATGCGTATAGCGAATAACAAAAAAGGATGTTATTTTACACATAGAGGAACAAATTTTTAAAGATTTTTTGAAATTACAGTGCGATTGTCACTACCTTTTTTATTTATTACGAGGAGCTTTGGTTTATGTTTAATATCTTTATTAGTGTTTAAGTGTGCACAACTGCTTAAAGCATCTGCTCAATTCAGTGAATATAAAAGCATATCCATATCTTTTAACGGCAATGTAGCAACTAAGCTTGAGAAGAAACCATGGCTACCCAACCTCTCATCATTTGCGTTCTTTTGGCCCTCGCTTTGGGTGTAAATGCAAAGATATGTCCGTCGCCGTTTACACAAGTTGGCAACAAATGCTACCACGTGTCTTTACAAAAGGTATTTAAAAAATGTTTCATTACAAAAGCTATACTAGCCTAATAAACAAATTAATTTTCAGGTTAACTGGCACGTTGCTGATCGTAGCTGTCGAAAACTGGGAGGCGAACTAATGGTGCTAGACAATCAAGAGGACAAACTTCTCACAACCGAATATCTGAAGAGCTTGGGACTATCTTTTACCAAAACATGGCATGATTCCGTTTGGGCTGGAATCAATTGTCTAGGAAACCGTCGGAACTTCAAGTTGTCAAAAAATGGAGACAATGTGACATTCATCGACTGGGTACCCTATCAACCAGACAACTCTACTCCTGAAGAAGATTGTGTGGCTTTTGCCAACTATAATGGGGCCTACGGGTATCACGATATAGAGTGCAAAATCGAGTTTCCAGTGGTTTGTCAAAAGGATTTTGCCGAGGAGTATTTATGCCTGAAGCGCGAGCTCTTCTTAGAGGCCCTTTTGTAAAAAATATAATAAATAGTATATTTCGATAGACCGATCTAAAGAACTGCAAGGGTTTTATTTTTCCGCTAACGGGGAGTCTTTTGGATACTGTGAGATTCAGGCTGCTTTATTTCCAATTTGATTAAATTGTATTAAAGTTTTGACTTTTTCTTGTCCGCTGTAGTTGTATCACTAAAACGCTAACGCTTACTCTATTTACCCACTTTAAAATACAATTTCCGCCGCTAAGCGGAAGGCATTGACGAAACAAACACATTTAAGTTAAAACAAGAGAGAACGCTATAGTCGGGTTGGTGTGCCGACTTTCTAATACCCGTCACTCAGCTAAAGGGAGTGCGAGGGAGATAGATATGTAAACAATTTTGATTGCGTATAACTTTTTTATGAATGGTCCGATTTGAAAAATGTCTTCTACATTTCGATAGGTATAAGTATACACAACAAAATTGTATTTATACTTCTCGGAAATCTTTAAAGATGTGGGCGCCAGACACATTTTAAAATCATTAGTGGGCGATTATGGGCGTTAGAAGGGTCGTGGCGCTCGGCTGAAATAAACTTGCTCTTCGTAGGAAGCCAAAGAAGATGTGTTGGAAATCTCAATTTTCTAGCTTTTGTAGTTTCTGAGATCTCAGCGTTCATACAGACGGACAGACGGACATGGCTAGATCGACTCGGCTAGTGACCCTGATCAAGAATATATATACTTTATGGGGTCGGAAACGCTTCCTTCTAGCTGTTACATACTTTTGCACGAATACAATATACCCCTTTACTCTACGAGTAACGGGTATAATTATCATTGTAGCATCTAAACTGTGGGTGCGGTTCGCAGTTTGTTGGCGTTATATTGGGCGTGGGATCCTGATGAAATAAACTTGCGCTGCGCAGAAACCCCTATAATCAGCATGCTTTATCACGAGCTTCTAGCTTTTATAATTTCAGCGTTTATAAGGACAGACAGATAGGCGGACAGGCGGATGGACGGACGGAGTATCGGAGTATCTGCGAGTATCGGGTCTAGACTCATACGAGGCGGGCGAGGACGCTTCTTAAGAGAATACTTCACAGGATTCGAATGGGCACTGAAACTTAGCATAAGTTCTTCAGCTGACTTTCTTAATTCCGCGCTGTACATTTTTCAAAAGTCCACGAAAACCAGAAGGAATTCAGTTTAACGAAATTAAGGAGGTGCTAATTATTCAACTCGATCAAAAAAGAAACACATTCGCTGGGAGCTTTATTAAAGCAGGGATAAGCAAATATCAATACACTTATTGATGTTTGCATATCTCAGCTTGAAGTGTCTGCTCAATTCATTGAATATAAAAGCCGATCTATACCCTTAAACGGCAATATGGCAATTGAACTCAAGATGAAACCATGGCCAGCTTTTTATTTGTAGCCCTTGCTTTGTGTATAAATGTAAAGATCTGTAAGTCACCGTTTACTCAAGTTGTCTACAAATGCTACCACGTGTCGTTACGAAAGGGAGTTAAATAATGTTTGATTACAAAAGCTATACTAATTTAATGATATAGTTCATTATCTGGTAAACTGGCACGTTGCCGATCGTAGCTGTCTAAAACTGGGGGGCGAACTTATAGCGGTAGACAATAAACAGGACAAATTTCTCATAATCGAATACCTAAAAAGCTTCGGTCTTTCGTTCGCCAAAGATTTCGCTGTCAGTCGAGGATAATTTTTTCGCGAAATTCAAGGGTGAGGACCGTAAGCCAGAGTATTGCCAAGCTTTCTAGTGAGGGACACAATAAATCGTTTTTCTTGAATTTATTATCAACAGTTCTATTAGAGAATTACGACCTACTGAAGACCAGCTGCTACGCGTCCGTAAAGGGGCAGTGCTTGGCATACGGCACATCTATGCAAATGCATCCTCGGGCGCTGAAATTTAAGGATTTCGGCTCAGAAATAGTTGAATTTACGTTTTTTAGGAAAACTTACTCATCGGGAGCGTCGTTGCCTATGTGGTACTCCCTCAGCAGCGAGGCGAACTCGAAGGGATTTACTTTTCCGCTAACGGGCAGTCTCTTGGAACCACTGAGATTCAGGCAACCGTTAGGACAAGGAACCCCCATGAACTTCTTGTGCTTAAAAGTGGCCGTGGCCAAGTAGCAGATGCTCAGAAAATGAGAGCAACGTGACCTTCCTATTAAGAAAGAAACATTACATTATTAGTTTTTAGAAATTATAGAAACCAACAATTTAACGACTATTAAGTTAAAATATTATTTTTAAAAATATTTGTATCAATAATTGTAAAATGTGATATATTTTAAGTGTTTTTTTTTCAGATATCAGAACATCAAAGTGACATTGAGATGCATTTAGTCTAGTTGAGATTTCTCCACTTTAGTTCTTACTGATGGGATTTCCCTTGCAGAAGGGCTGGATGCGTCCTCCGTTGACGCAGTAGTTAAGGTGCCCGGTGTTGTCCTCCTGGCCCAGGAATCCTGCATTGGTGTGGATCACCTGGATGACGTTGGCGTCGTCGATCGAAAGCCGGAAGGTGTTGCTCTTCTTGCGCTCTATTAACGGCCGGGCGGGATCCAAACCAATGATGCGGTACTGCTTTCGCGTCAGATGGTTGCTGATCATGCCGCAGATGTGGGCGCCCAACGAATGGCCGACGCAGGTGATCCGCTCACGAGCCGCTCCGTAGTGGGTCAGGAAGGCGTAGATCTGGGCGGTGCACTGCGCCGTAAGCCTGGTGTTGATGAGCGAGTGGAGGTAACACGGATAGCGGGTCAGGGGTCGCCAGTCCACGGTGATGACGTTAAAGTCGCGCGATAAATATGCTGAGATGGGACCACATAAATACACATTTCATAGGGTTCTAAAACTAAAAACATATCCTCTGTACCTACCATCCCGTAGAAATTGGAGGTGAATGTCGATGGCCGTCCCATTGAATCCGTGAATAATAAAAACGGTTTCGCGGCTCTTGCTGAAACCACCTTTGTATAAAGTCAGTGGGTTCTTCACATTTAATGCAATTCCTCGTCGCGGTCCATTGCTGAAAAGAACGTAATCAGATTTCAACATAACCTTATCATCAATTTATACGACGGCGTACAAAAAAGAATAGATTGCAATTCTATTTATACGCATATAAAAAAAATAGGATTAAAGATACGATTTTTTTTAGAAACATAAAACCAGGAAGTTTTCTTGTCATTTAACTGTATTGCCCTAAAAATTATACCTTTTGTTCTCAGCATTACAAAAATATATATTTTACTTTTATATATTTATATATTTTTTTAGCCGAGATTTTGTACAATGAAATATCATTCTTTCGACGAAGGACTTTCCTTACATTCTAATTAGAGACCTGCACGAGTGAGTAAAAATATACTCGATTACTACTCGGCGATGCCGATTCCAACTGTCAAATCTGGAATCGTGGCATCGTAGAATCGTAGGCATCGGCATCGTTTTACTCATATCTGACTCGTGTTTTTTATTAAACAAAATCAACCAAAATCAACAAGAGGAACCAATATAACCAAGATTTCACAATGTTAGTCTTATCTACTTATGACCATAGATTAACTCTTTGACAATATGAGACCGCGAATTCTTTGGCACAAGAGAATTTTTTTTTGTTTTTTACCGTCTTTGAACCCGACATACACGAAATCTTAACCAAAATGAGACCGCGAATTCTTTGGAAGAAGAAGAACCAATAAAGGACCATGTCCAAAACACGTATGGATTTGTTGTCTTTAACTAGGTTTTTCTATTCACGAATTCTAAAAAAAATGTACCCGCGAATTCTTTAGAAGAAGAGGAAATTTTATTGAAATTTATTTTTAAATGTCAAATTTGAAATTTGTTGGCGATGCTACGATGCTACTCGTACGATTCTACGATGCCGAGTATACTCGGCATCGTTTGACACGATTACATGATTACAAAAAATAATCGTGGCATCGCCAACTTGATTACTTTTACTCGTGGAATCGGCATCGGCATCGTATCGTGCAGGTCTCTAATTCTAATAAACTGTTTTGAATTCCAAAGGGAACCTTTTTGGTGTTACTCAGTGTTATTATTGTCTTAACGATAGTCTTCTGATATGGCCGGTACTTAATGGCGATAATGGCTTGAATTTATCGTTGGTGTGCTGTTTTGTTTAACGGGAGCGATCGGCATTTCATGTGGCTATAAAACCGGAAAAACCTCTCGTGCGGCAAACAATCAGAAGCCAGAACATGGCCAATCAAGTGCTCTTTGCTTGCGTCCTCTTCACTTTGGCTCTGGGCCTTAACGCTACTAATTGTCCGTCGCAATTTGTGCTTGTGGGCAACAAGTGCCTCTATGTGTCTTCAAACAAGGTAGGGGTCAATCAGAAAGCAATAATTCTAAATACTCGAGTACGTAAGGAATATTAATCTAAATTGGTTTGGGGCCGAGCTAACATGTCGGAGTCTTGGGGCCGATCTTTTGGTCTTTGACGACGAACGGGACAAGATCCTCACGACCGCCCACCTTATCAATTTGGGATTGCCCTTCGCCAACGGATGGCGTGATTCAGTTTGGGTGGAAATTAATTGCTTGGCTAAGCGGCGGACATTTGTGTTGCCCAAGAATGGTGAAAAGGTACCCTACTTGAAGTGGGTCCCTCATGAGCCCGACAATGCTGATCCGGAGGAGGATTGCCCTTCGCCAACGGATGGCGTGATTCAGTTTGGGTGGAAATTAATTGCTTTTAGAAATTTAAGGGCTGTAGGGTCTTTGGCATAAAAAAAATCAAACAAACTTTGCGATTTTTTTTATAAAAACTGGTTGGATGGACTTAACTCAAACCTTTTGAGTATTATTAAGTGTCATTTAAATAATATCCACTAATTTTTATAGCCCATACCATCGGCTAATATTTTGGTGGCAAAGCGATTGCTTGAACACTGTTAAAAAATGGCGTTTTTGCGGTGTTCACTGTATCTCCGCCAAGAATGATTTGATTTTCATTTTGTTTTTAAATTTCGGTTATTAACTAAAAAAACCTGGGAATGTCTTTTTTTATTCCCTTGCAGAGGGTATTATAATTTAAGTCAAAAGTTTGCAACGCTGTGAAGGAGACGTTTCCGACCACATAAAGTATTTATATTCTTGAATAGCATCAATAGCCGAGTCCATCTAGTCATGTCCGTTTGTCCGTCTGTCTGTCTGTCCGTCTGTTCGTTTCTATGACGATTACGAACTATAACTTTTTTAGTATAATCTTAAGATGTTAATTTACAAAAATTGGAAACCACTCGTTTTGGTTTACATGATGCCGCCTGGGATAAAACTTAAACGCGAATGAAAAATGCAGCTTTTTTTGAGGAAAATATCACAGTAGTCAGCTCAGAAATAAAAATTTGACATTGATAATTCAGTAATATATCTGTGCTGACTGCTATGATATTTTTCTCAAAAAAAACGTCATTTTAGACCATAAGTATGTTCGCCAATATGGCTTAGAATCCTTTAAAAATTACATTCCCCCCATACGATTTTTGGGGTCCCAAATCGACTCACCCTAATGTGGAATTTTCGTGATCTAGGGCTCCAGCACTAACAGAATTTTCCATAAATTACTGGGGAGCATTTTGGCTGTAAACTAGTGTAATCAATAACTCGTCGAAGAAATGTGTAATAAATCTGCCAGAAAAGTCGTTGTGAGTAGCTCAGTAATTTATAAACCAGAACAATTAATAATAACAAAAAAGAAAAACAGAAAATAAAAGCAGAACAGTTATCAGCATTTGCTCTTAGAATTCTCCCCATTAGTCTTCACCAAGATAAATATTGGCAAGCATCTCGTTTGATTTCTAAGAACGGAGGTGTCAGTCCGTTTATTTTTTGCTGTTATACAACCATCAATCAGCAGTCTCTCGAGCGCTGGCCATCATGTAATCCCATCCGCCGTTTAATGTTACCACAGCAATTACCCGACTGCTTTCCCAAAATGGACCTCACCAGTTGCGACTTTGTCTGATCTTCGGAGGTGGGGGTGATCTTGCCCAGACAAGTTGGGCAAGACAACAACCAAGGAGTCGTTTGTAAAGCATTTTATTGACCAATTGGCCTTAAATTGATGTCATCGCTGGCCAGGCTTGACGGTCAATGTGGAAAAAGCAGGCCTCCTTTGGCGAGAGCATATCATCCATAGTGGGTCATTGGCTGGTTTCGAAAAACGGGTTGCCCGCCCATTAATTGCACTCTTATTTTTCGGCTTCTGCCAGCCAATATCCTTGTGGTTGCACAAGTCCAGTGCGACAAGTGTTTCGGCAGTTGACACACTAACCGAGTAAGCAATTCCAGTTGCCTAACACCTGAGGAACTTTCTCCCCCGCCCAGCGGCTAGCACAAATCATCACCATAAATTGGCAAAATCGCTGCACTGAGAAAAAAACCTTTCTTAAAACGAAAATGGACCGAAAAAAACTTTGTAGCCCCCACTTCAGATAAAATGTGTAAGAGACTTTACAAGCACAGAAACAGCGTGTAAATATTTAAACATATTTTATAGATACAAATTTCAAAGTTAAAAGTACAGCCCAATATTATTTTTACTTTTGTGTGAGCTGCCTGTCAAGAGATACAATTAACATTTATTTGTTTCGATGTCTTTTTTGTGGGTTATTAGGAATTTATTAGAATAATGCGCCTACACAACTTGCTATTGCTCGGGGATGACACTAATTTTTGAAATTTATGAGCCTTTGAATTCAGGTTCTACAAAGAGAAGCTTGCAGAACGCAATTAAACTTACGGAGCATACAGTCGGTGATCGATATGTGGACTGGGACAAAAGTTTTTGTCGCGCAAAAAGCAACGCAGTACATTTAGGTCCAAGGCTCCACTGTTGCGCAGATTTTTCCAATCCATTTGGCTTAGAAGCAATGTTTGAGCATCTGCAATTGTATTTTTTGTGGTCTTTAATACTTTGACCTTTTTTATTGGTAAAATGCATCGATGATCAAGAATTTTACAGGAAAGCAGAAGAATTTTTAATTTTTTAGATCAATTTTTATCAACTTGATCAATACAATTTTTTCAGAACGAGTCCAATTATTTTATTGGACTTCTTTTGGGAATATACCTTTGGCAAAGAGTGAAAATATGCAAAGCACGACGAGATGTTTCATTTTTAATTGGATTTCACAGTTTGTGACTTTTTTTTATTTTCTTTGTAAAATAAACTTGTTTCCTAATGACACAATTCAGTGCACATACACTTAAGGCAAAGAATGGTTAATTTCTGTTATTTTCATTTGATAGGGAAATTAGTTCTTAATGAATGACATTTCTACTTTATAATTGTTTAAATTTTTTTTTATCAAACAACTTATTTTTCATTAGTATAATTTATGACTTCTTTATATTTATTCATCACTCAGTTTTTGTTACGAAATATTTTTTAGCGAAATTTCGATTTTTGTGCACTGACTTGTCACCGAAATAATTATACAGCTTTGAAACTTTTGTTTTTATTTATTGAGTTATTTTCCTTGAGGACTTTGGCTTTCCTCTCGGCTAATTTTATTTGCCTTTCACATATTTCGCATATTTAAACCAGATTCCACTCCGCTTTTCCGTTTGAATTGACAACTTGCACTGCGATCACATGGTTTTTTAATTGATATCCATTTGCTTTTGTCAAGCGATTTCATCGTAATCCTTAGCATTGAAATCAGCAATTTAGATCTTTTCCGCGAGCGGTTCGCAGCACGTCTTGCAGATTCGCGCTGTGCGCTGCAAATGCGCTGCCCAAGCGCGAAAGGCGCGACCAAGGAAAATGCAGTCGTCGCCTGCAGAGGCAGCAGCAATTGCAACGGTAGCAGCAACACCAAAAGCAGCAACATTAGCAACAGCAGAAAAAGCAGCAGCAGCAACAGCGAAAACTGGCCAAAGAATCGCTAGGCCCACCGCCTGTTGCCTTGACTTTGCTTAACGTTGACTTGAAACGTGAATGACTTTGGCTAATATAAAATGTTGCTGCTGTCTTACCTCCATTGTTGCTGCAATTGCCGCTGTTGTTGCTGCTGTTGCTGTTGTGTCTGCCTGGCGACGACTATGAAATGAAAATTCATGGCACACGCAACGCTGCACTGATTTTGATTATGAGTTTTCAGTTGGAAATGGGTGCTTTCGGTTTCGTTTTCGTTTTCCAACTCAATGCCGTTGCCTTCTTCATGGTGTCTGCGGTTTGTAATTCATCTGCTTATTATTTACATAACATTCGCATTGAATGCAAATTCTTATTATTATCCCCGACGACAATTGCCTGGTTTGTTTCCTAAGTCATTCGTTTTAGCCAAGCGATAGTGAAATATTATCAGATCTGCATCTTTTCGGTGACTGGATGGCCTTTAGGTGGTTCAAGGCCAGAAAAAGGAAAGGCCCAACATCAGGGATCCACTGCGACCATTTATCAGGCCAATCTGGGTGCATAAAAGTGAAAGATTCGATTGTTTGTCTAGGGTTGCGTGGTTCGGCTATTAATATTTTAAAATAAATCCATTTTAATGGTAAAACTAAAAATCAACCTAATATAAACGCAGTGGGTTCTTGCTTTTAATAATTCGGGATTACTTTATAAGCAGTTGTGGATCCTTAATTTTTTTTCGTTTTAAATTCGTCACTTTTATTTAGATATAGTTATTTTGGTAAATAATTAACAACTTCTTACAGGAGCAGATTATATTTTCGTTTTGATCGGATAGAAATAGAATAAAAAACTATTTTTTTATACTTTTACTCACATTAATTAGTTTTCTTTTAGTCTTCCAAATTCGTTATTTGGTAGCTTTTTAGCTCACGCCCTTTTACACTTCTCACTTTACTTACCTTGTAAACAGCTGGTAATCTATATATCGCTTGGGGCACGTTTCCCACAATAAAATGTGGCAATTAAGAGGATTCAAGTCGAAATTTCCATTACGCAACAAGAATTGCAGTGCCTCTCTATGATTTTGGGCTGTAAAAAAGAAACCAACTGAGTTCACATACACTCATAGAAATTTTTACCTAAATACTAGAAAAGTCGCCCTAAAACCGAGGTCGCCCTAAAACTACAAAAAATTTTCTTATTATACGGGTGGCTAGCCCTAAAGTTACGAAAAATCGCCATGGAAAATATTTTTTAGGGTTAGTTTTTCCAAAAAGGCCAATTTGCCCTGTTTTTTAGGGCGAATTTTCATGAGTCGACTCCAAAAGTAATTCCTTATTTTTAGGGCGAAATTGCCTTAAAACGTTGAACAAAATAGCAAAAAAAATGTTCTGAAATTGCCCTAAAAACAAGGAAGAGTCAAACGAAATTTTAAGACGCAATTAATGGATACATATGTAATACATGTGTGTATGTGTGTGTGGTTGACAGGTCAAAACAAGTGAATGTGTGTGTATATTAGGGCGGACCTTTTTTTATGAATTTTGATGCTGAGCGCATTTGACTTTAAAGAAGTCCACCCTTTTTCTTCTTCTTTGCTACTTTTCGTCCGTTGCAGTGGCAAGGGTGGGGGTAGAAAGAGTTGCATTGTCTAGACTTTGTCATAATTTTTCGGGCGCTTGGCGGCGAAAGACGTGTTTGTGAAAAAGTGAAAAATGTAAACGCTATTAAAGGACTTGGGAGGCGATTCTTTCTCTGTTTTCTGGTGAGTACATACATATATAATTGTGCAATTTGGATATTACTAACTAATTGAATTTACATATCTGTAACAGAGGAAAATGCAGCTGAAACTTAAAAAGATTTGACTGGAAGCAGCGGTCCAGATGTAGAGTTTTGGAAGTGTGGCAGAACAAAGTAAGAACATTAATAAGAGTATACATATATGTATGTGTATATGTAAAAATTGCTTGAGGTAAAAAAATGATGCAACAGAATATACACATGTATACAGATGTATACAGATATTTACCAGAAATCTGTATTTATGCACCGGACAAACCGCATTCACAAGTGCATATGCCAAAATAACCCCCAAATTTCTATTGCGTCATTTCGTCAGTAACCGAAATTTGCTTTTGTTGCTTCTTTTTTTCCAGAAGTAGCAGCAAACGCAATCGCAGGCTAAATGAAAATTCTGACTGTTAGTAGTGCATTTTTATATTAATTTCTAACAATTTTATTTCTTGTTTTAGATTGAGAACGTCTTTGAGATCCAGCTTCCGCAAACCACTTTTCGCACTTTTTAAAAGCGAAAGTAAGGGAACAAAACTGCTCAAATCTTTGGAAAGCCACGCTGAAGGTATGTGCTTTTTCTCTTTTTCTTTTCTCATTCAATAAATAGACTGTTTTTATTTAATAGAGATACAATCAACTTTAATTTGGCTTGCGATCCATTCAGTGTTGGTGCGACAGCATTGACAAAAAAGGACGGCGGGAGCAAGAACGCGAAGCACACCATTGCGGACCCGCGAAGCCGTTTCTTGGTTTGGAAGGCTACTGTTGGGGAACTGCAAACACATCTAAAGGCATTGACGGAAAATTGCTAATCCGGAAAGCCGAAACTGCAACCATTCAGCTGCAACGTGGGAACAAGCCCATTTTGACCTTGGTGAATTTCCAGTTTACCTATCAGAGGTTTATTTATAGAATGCCAACCTTATTGAAAAGTATTGATGTGTGCTTCAAAATATTTTTTGTTTTAAACCACGACATTTATCCAAAAAATGTTTTATGAAATTCATTTAGAGTCTGATAAGAAAGGTAAAGCTCTTTCCAAACTCTTGAAGGATTATAAAACCTTAAAACTGTAACTATTTTAAAGAAACAATCTGTTCATTCCAACAAAAAAATATTATTTCTATGCATTCAATTAGAAGTAAAATTTGATAATCAGTACTTATTGTAATAAACCTTAAAAGACCTAAAATTCCCTCCGGCGGAAGCACAAAACCTAAGGACCAAAAAATACATTAAGCCAAAACATTATTTTTAAGATCGATGTAATTCTTTTAGCAATAAGAATAAGTAGAAAAGTATGTAAATGTATATAATTAGAAATTGTGTAAATAACAACAAACAAAAATATAAAAAAAACAAAATAAATATAATGAAATCGTATAAAAAAAGCCGGGAAATTTTGGGGAGCACTTTGCTTTTTTTAGGGCAATTCGCCTATAAATCCAGAAAAACGCCCTAAATTTTTAAAAATCTGCCTTTAGTTTCAGGATATTTTTTCATATTTCTAGGGCAATTTGCCCTAAAATCCAGAAAAACACCCTAGATTTATGAAAATCTGCCTTTAGTTTAAAGGTATTTTTTCCGATTTCCAGGGCAATTCGCCTATAAGTCCAGAAAAATCGCCCTGGATTTAAAGGAAACTGCCTTTAGTGTAAGGGTCTCATTTCCTATTTTTAGGGCAATTAGCTTTGAAAATAGAAAAATCGCCCTAGATCTTCGAAAAATCGCCCTAAATGTGTGACAAATTCACCCGTATTTTTAGGGCAATTTGCCCTAATTTTGTTGCCTAGTCGCCATTGACCCCCGTTTTAGGGCGATTTTCCTTGTTTTTAGGGCGATTTTACCGGAAAATTTCTATGAGTGTATCACAATCCTTATCGACGACGCGATCTTCCCACTTACACGCGTTCGTGAGCGAATCCAGGGAAAGTAGCGATAACAGCAGTACGATAAAGCCGGTCAACATTTTGGCCAAATGAATTCTGCATTTAAATTGGTATCACGTAGAAGAGCGAGACACATCGGGTTAAATGGATGGCGTCTAATTGAATGAGCCATTCGCATCGCCTACTGCTAAACTGCGGAGCCAAGAGCTTTTAAAAGCTGCATCCGCACAAGAAAATGGAAAACGAATGAAAATCACCGAAAATTGACACTCACGAACGACCCGGCGCCATCTGTGGATTGGGTGACATTGCTTTGTGGGGAGCTACCAGTCGGCTGTTTTCATATTTCGGTCTCGTGTGCACAGAAGTTGCGTGTAACCGAAACCCCGATTTCCATATGCACCGAAAAAAAGAACTAACATATTCGAAACCGGTGAAATCAACACAAAAATAAGAACAAGAATAAAGTCACTTATATTATAACTCACTTATCTTTGACTAAAAATACAGTAATAAATAAACTGATTCATTTAAACTAATAATTTAAATAATTATAATTTTAAAATATATCTTAGCACAAAGATCAGTATTGACTAATTTAGTAAGATTCGGTAATAATTATTATAAATGTAACTAGATATTATAATTTATGCAATCGATTAGCTCGAAACCAAAAAAGCTACCAAATATCACGTTATTTTTGTAATATCCTTTCAAAATACATTGGAAAAAAAAAGTAATTTTGATAAAGTTTGGGTAACTATTATTATGTATAATTATGATATTCATTTTCTTTAATTACACGTTTAATCACAGTTATTTGTTGGGGTGTAATATAGTATAGTTGACTGATGTGATTGGGTTTCGCAATTGTCTATATATCGCTATAAACGCCTATTGGTTGCCACATGGAGACACCTGCAGGCTCCAGCATTGTCCACAGCAATAAAGAATAAAAATAATTAAAAAAGCTTGGTCGTAGATAGCAGAGAAATAAATTGGGAAACAGATTGAACGGATGCTAAAAGTTATGGCATTGATCTAAGTAAAGTTAAACGTTATCACGGCACAGTTTTTAATTTCTTTTAAAATTTAATAGATTAGCCATAACTGACATTCCTGGTTCAAGAGTTAAAACTATCAAAAATTAAGTAATCTTGTAGATTTGATGAGAGTAGGCCTGTTTTTATGCAGCTTAGGGGTCAATGAAGTCCACGCCAGTGAACCCCACCTTTGAGACCAATTTACAAGTCAGCCCAAATTATTTCCCTACACCTAAGATAAAAAAGTTGGCAGCCAACGCGGTAGCAATTAATTCTGACCACGAGAGGGAAACAAATCTCAGTTGCGGAAAACACGGGAAAACTCAGGGCCAAAGTGACATCAAACGCCGTTTCTACCGGCAGGCAACGATTTTCCGAAACGAAAGCAAACAATGTTGGGTCTGCGGCTAATGCATCTAATTGAAAGTAATGAGCTCGTTGGCCTACAACACCGCAAAACGGGGCTAAAGTCAACTGGAGGCAGCAAAAAAGTTTTACATGGGTTTTTGATATACACTCATAGAAATTTTTACCTAAATACTAGAAAAGTCGCCCTAAAACCGAGGTCGCCCTAAAACTACGAAAAATTTTCTTATTATACGGGTGGCTAGCCCTAAAGTTACGAAAAATCGCCATGGAAAATATTTTTTAGGGTTAGTTTTTCCAAAAAGGCTAATTTGTCCTGTTTTTTAGGGCGAATTTTTATGAGTCGACTCCAAAAGTAATTCCTTCTTTTTAGGGCGAAATCGCCCTAAAACGTTGAACAAAATAGCAAAACAAATGTTCTGAAATTGCCCTAAAAACAAGGAAGAGTCAAACGAAATTTTAAGACGCAATTAATGGATACATATGTAATACATGTGTGTATGTGTGTGTGGTTGACAGGTCAAAACAAGTGAATGTGTGTGTATATTAGGGCGGACCTTTTTCTGTGAATTTTGATGCTGAGCGCATTTGAGTTTAGAGAAGTCCACCCTTTTTCTTCTTCTTTGCTACTTTTCGTCCGCTGCAGTGGCAAGGGTGGGGGTAGAAAGAGTTGCATTGTCTAGACTTTGTCATAATTTTTCGGGCGCTTGGCAGTGAAAGACGTGTTTGTATGAAACCTTTTGTTTGTGAAAAAGTGAAAAATGTAAACGCTATTAAAGGACTTGGGAGGCGATTCTTTTTCTGTTTTCTGGTGAGTACATACATATATAATTGTGCAATTTTGATATTAATAACTAATTGAATTTACATATCTGTAACAAAGGAAAATGCAGCTGAAACTTTAAAAAATTTGAGTGGAAGCAGCTACGAGGAGAAATTCCTGTTCAACTAGTCGGTCCAGAAGCGGAAGTGTGGCAGAACAAAGTAAGATCATTAATAAGAGTATACATATATGTATGTGTATATGTAAATAATGCTTGAGTTAAAAAAATGATGCAACAGAATACACACATACATATATATATATTTACAAGAAATCTGTATTTATGCACCGGACAAACCGCATTCACAAGTGCATATGCCAAAACAACCCCCAAATTTCTATTGCGACATTTCGTCAGTGCTCGAAATTTGCTTTTGCTGCTTCTTTTTTTTTCTAGGAGTAGCAGCAAACGCAATCGCAGGCTAAATGAAAATTGTGTGTGTTGGCTGTGCATTTTTATATTAATTTCTTATAAAATTTTTTTTTTTTTTTTTAGATCGAGAACGCTTTTCAGATCCAGCTTTCGCAAACCACTTGTCGGACTTATTAAAAGCAGGAGTAAGGAAGCAACAGGAAATAAACCTGCTCAAATTTTTGGAAAGCTCTGAAGGTAAGTGCTTCTCTTTTTTTCAATTATCATATAATAATTAGACCGTTTTCATTTAATAGAGATACAATCAACTTTAATTTGGCTTGCGATCCATTCAGTGTTGGTGCCGACAGCAAAAACAAAAAAGGACGCCGGGAGCAAGAATATAAATTGTGTAAATATATTTGTAGTTAATGTAAATAACAACAAAAAAAATATAAAAAAAAAAAAAAAAATATATTGAAATTGTATTTTTATTTATGAAAAATGGCCGTGAAATTTTGGGGAGCATTTTGCATGTTTTAGGGCAATTCACCTATAAATCCAGAGAAAATGCCCTAGATTTTTGAAAATCTGCCTTTAGTTTTAGGATATTTTTCCTTATTTCTAGGGCAATTCGCCTTAAAATCCAGAAAAACACCCTAGATTTATAAAATATTGCCTTTAGTTTAAAGGTATTTTTTCCGATTTCCAGGGCAATTCGCCTATAAGTTCAAAAAAATCGCCCTGGATTTAAAGGAAACTGCCTTTAGTTTAAGGGTCTCATTTCTTATTTTTAGGGCAATTACCTTTGAAAATAGAAAAATCGCCCTAGATCTACGAAAAATCACACTAAATGTATGACAAATTCACCCGTATTTTTAGGGCAATTTGCCCTAATTTTGTTGCCTAGTCGCCATTGACCCCCGTTTTAGGGCGATTTTCCTTGTTTTTAGGGCGATTTTACCGGAAAATTTCTATGAGTGTAGTAAAGCCATTCAAAGGAAAGGAAAATATCATGCAAATGAAAATGAAAATAACAAGGGAACCGCTGAGCAG